CAATTCCAATAGAAATGCAAAATTCCAAACCTTTTAAGATAACAATGCAAAAAATTATGTCACAAAAACTCCATTCAACAATTATTAACTTATTAACGGCATAAAAACTATTGTGTCACTTAAAAATAAACACAAAACTAAACTCTTCTATTTATTTAATCCCATAAGCAAATGCAACACGCCTGAATATGTCTTAATATGTGTTAAATATATCGATTTGTCGCTTCACACAATTTCCCTTTGATTGCTAATTAAGCTCCTTACAAGCTTCCGGTTGTAATGTTTAAAAAAAATACATAAAAAAGAAAGAAAAAAACACAAGAAAAAGGAAAGGAACGAGTAAACAGATGTCTTTACATTATTAGCACTAATTCCCTGTATATAGGTATATATGTATGTCTGTCTGTCACTAAAACTAAAATGAAGCACTTATTGACTTTCAAGTGAAACTTTCATTAAACTTCTACAGCTGACGATAATGTGTTCAATTAGCAATATTTGTTCGATCGTTTGCTTACTGAATAACTAACCGACCGACTGACAAGCGCACAACATGAAAAAAGGTCACAAGTGCCTCAATTGACTGCTTTAAAAGGGCCGCTATGGCCGGCTGTGAGGTCAATCGCTTTTGCTCGTAAATAAACAATGCTAGTGAATACATACGCATGTTTACATATGTGTGTATGCACTATTTAGCGAATGTAATTGAATGAAAGCATTGTTAATTAATTTCGGCTGCAAATTGTTATGGAACAATATTTATTAACAGTAGACCGCCTTAATGTTATCCAAATGCTAGAAAATCTACCAAAAATTATACTATTTCTAGTAAAACAAAATTTGTATTTTAAGAAATTCATCTTAAGGCAAACTTAAGATCACTTATGACGATAGTTCCAGTTTCATTACCACTCTTTCAGATTATTCTTTATTAAATTATCGGATTTTTTCATCTATAAGCAGAGAAGTTAGTAAAAAAGAGCAGTAAGAGAAATAATAGAACTAAACAAATGACTAGTTGTTTGCTATTTTCTAATTTTTTGGCAGCAACTCTTCTACATATACCTACATACATATCTACGGTTTTCTATGATATGAATATAATAATATAAATATGGTATAAAAACCCTCTGCAGATAATATAACCTAAAAATTTTTTCAATCAACTTTATTATAGCCTATTAGAACAAATCTATGCTGAGAATATAATTAAAAAATTAAAATCTTAGTTTAATTCAAAATTTTTAGTTTAAAAATTTCACAACCCTGATGTAAATATACATCTCTTTAACCAACTATTAAAGTTTCTTACTTACTGCGGTACAAAAACAAAATACCAACAACAAATCTCCTTTGCAAAACTTTTTCCACTGAGACATCCATTGACCCAGCAAAGCCATACACATATACATACATACGAAAGTTGTAATTTTTGTAGTTTTGTATATATGTATTCTCTAAAATATTGCCCCGAAATATTGATTGGAAAACGTAAAACTCAAAATAAGCTAAAATATAATTAAATTAAATAAAAACATAATACATATTAGGTCAAGTAAAAAGTTCGTTTGGTTTTTTTATTGATTTTTCGAAAGATGATAACTTTGTGTACATTTGTCCGATTTAGGGATAAGATTAATATATGGTACATATGAATGTATATTCTATGTATATAAGTACTTAATATAAAAATAACAAAAACAATAGTTATGATCTATATGTATAGTTCCATGGCACGCACACAACGATGATTTTGTGATAATAATGCGCGAAACCTTGAAACTGGAATATTTAGTACAATGGGTGGCATTAGGTAATCGAAAAAACAAAATAAGCAAGAGTAAAACAAATCAAGAACAGTGAGGAGATAAAATGTAAATTTTTAATTTAAAGTATTTTTAATGAATAAATGCATAACTAATTTGATTAAAATACTAGTAACTAGGCGAAGAATATTAGAAAAAAAGTAGCAATTATTATTGCTGATAATTCGATAAAAGATAGAAGAATTATTTATTTTGCGAAAGTCAATAAAAATTATTAATCTTTTAAATCTTTTTTTTCTTTCTCAAAATCAACAAACAGTACAAGTGTTTGGAACTATGTATTTACTTTTATGCTATAGGAAATGCAGCTGTGAAGGGTATTATAGCATCGGTGCAGCCGAAGTTAACGTTCTTATTCGTTTTATTTTTATTTGACACTCACATTATTCCTTACCTTCTTTAATTTTTTCCTATTGGAAATCTAAAATAATTACACGCTTTAAACCAAAAACTAAATCTATTACCTGGCTATCATATTGAGAAGCGTTAAAGCAAAGCAAATGTGAATATAAAAGCGCTTCAAAAAATACACTTAAATATACATATATTTCCATACATAAATATATGCTACACACCAACAAAATTAACATATACAAGAAACCTTTCTATGTATATAAACAACTACAATACCTGGAACCATTAACGGGCACTGTCTGGCTGCCTTACCGACCTTGAAATCACATCAGCCAGAGCCCATAAAAACCAAAAGGCACTAGCAAAGCAGAACAAGGAAATACAAAAAAAAAAAAAAAAACATTGCCGCTAGCGATAAGAAATGTGTAAAGTAAAAAACAATATTACGGATAATAAGTTTCCTGCTGTAGAATTTCACTAAATATATATAACTTCCCACTTACAAGCATATATAATATACATATGTAAGTATGCAACATGTGCTACAGATATGTATGTACACAAGAGGTTATGACAAATATGATGACTCATAAAAACTATGTTGTAGAAAATATTTTCCTGATTATGATTATTTCTTGGCGATTTTTCTAAATTATTTAAACGCCAGCTTATCTTTTTATCCAATAAAACAAGAAAATAGTAGCACGATAAAAAAATACAAACATATAATCTGAAAATGCTTATATTTTTTCTATGGCTTAAATATTGATTTTTATTTTCCGTTTTTACTGTTTAATATTCGTTTTCCATACATACATACATATGTACATACACACATTTTAATATAGAAGTTTGTAGCTTCATCGCCCCCTTTTGCTTAACATCACTTTATTGGCTCTTAGCCAGCATCTTTGCACTTTTTCTCATTCTTATTAAAATTATGGTCTTGTTATAATTTTGTCCATTTCGCATTGTGCGTCATTTTTCGTAAAAATTTGCCAGTTTGGCTAAATTAGAAAACGAAACATGCACGACGCTCCTTCGCTTTCTCTGATTGACGTTACAGATCGTTACAGATTTTATAGCTACAATAGCTTGCTAGCTAATAGATGTTCTTCCATATGTTTTTCTAAAAAATTTTCGCTTTATTTTTTGCGCCAAGTGTCACTTTTTGGCTATTTTAGTCATACGTCGATCATTTTCAACATTTTTCTGTGGCGTTTTGTTATTTTTTTCTTCTTTTTTTTACGTGAGTAAGTGCAGCCCATTTTCACTGTTTACGCTGGTTTTTGTTATTATTATTTATGTATTTGAAGTATTTCACGGTATTTCGTGATTTTGTTTTTTTTTTTGCATACAGTGATATTTTATAGCTTGCTCCAAATTATTTGTTGTGGTCTGGAATTTAAAAATGCACATGTGTATTTGCTCTATCCGAGAGCTTACACTTTAACAACAAAAATTAAAACAACAAAGCTGTTTAAATGTTTACAAAATTTGTTTGGTTTTTTTGTAAATCGAAATTTATAAGAGAATCACGCAGGGTATATTTGGTTACGATAGAGCTTGAGAACTAATTGCGGTTTGATTAATTTAAAAAAAATATTAAGTTAACAACCAAATATGTTATTATTCATCAAAGAATTTTCGAGGTTATGTATTATTTTAATGGACATAGAAAAGTGTTTTCTTTAAGTTAATTTATAAATAATGTATAATTTAAAGCGCAGAATTCAAATTATTATCAAACTGTCAATACCACAAGTTCGAAAATATTAACAAATTACTTTCAAACAAAAAAATGTTAATCGAGGCTATAATATTCTTCACAGGTACATTACTTATAGTATAAAAGGGCATAAAAAGATCTTTATCTTGATTATAATCGGTCAGCTTGTAGGACAACTATACGAGTATGCTATAGTAGTCCGATTTGATCAATTTATTCGGAAATCTGTTTTGGGCAATAATCTGTACAAAATTTCGTGAAGATATATTTTCAAGTAAGAAAATTTACCGTACAAGAACTTGATTTGCTCGGTCAGCTATATGCTATAGTGGTCCGATATCCACGATTCTGGCAGATGAATAGCTTTTTGGGAGATCGACATGACACTCTTACTAACTCCTAATCTAATTCAATCAATCGATTGCTACCGGGCCATGAACTTCCAACAAAAACATCAAGCTCCAATTTATATCGTATTTTCATCATTATAAACCACATTTACAGTTAACACCTTTTATTTACATATGTGTATTAATTTTTCTGCAAACTATTTTGTTTTACATCGTTTTGCTTTTACTTCTGCTGAATACCAACGAGTTTATTGACCTCTCGATGGACACGCTGACAATTAATATATATTAAATGCATTGCGAAAGATTCTACGACATGTTTTTTGTATAAATGAATGTATGCAATCAACTTTGTCACCGCACCTAATGTCAAACGAAGTGGCCGGACGTGCAAACCGGCAGTTCAATCGGAAAGAAAAGAAAAACAAAAGTGTAATGACAGTGTAGGTATGTATATATTTAAGCGAAAGTACGCACAAACAAAATATGACAACAATAACAAAACTGCTGTGTAGAGACCACAGACACACCCTTTCGCGAAGATGCAGCTCCGATGCAAAACGCAAAGGAACAGGATGTTGCAGCAAGTCATAATTTCATAACATAATATGGATGTAAGTGCAAACAGTAAAAAAAATATAAGGAACGGAAAGCATAGCGAGAAAATTGTGCAATCATAAATACATTAATGTATACCTGTAAATACGTATGTATGTATGTAATATGTGTATAGTTACTTACCAGCGCTGTACTCTGCCGCACCACCTGCGAGACGGAGTCGCGCAGCTGTGCTGCCACACCGGCTTTGTTGCTGTTTAGGACGCGTGAGAATTTGCGTTCGCTCATCTTGGCCACAAATCAAAAGCGAAGGCCAAGTTTGAAATAACTCGCAGAAGAACACAATCCAATAAGAATTTATACCAGTTTATAAATTCTTATAAAAACAAGTTACACAAAAACAAAATGAAAATACATGGAAAAAACTCAAGTTCTTGGCTGATGAAATGCAAGTTGAAAGGAAGGACACAGATGATGGCAAACACACGGTCGTTTATGCAGATATGTACGAATATGCGCCGAATGTCAGCACGGCCTCCAACGAGTTGGTGACTTTTCGTATGTTGTTTTTGCGTTGTCAAATGCAGGAATATGTATACACCGTAGGCAGCATGACGTATTTTTGCACTTTTATTTTTATTTCAGTAGCATTAAATTGCGAATACAAATCTATTTTTATAATGCGCCACAACTTCCTTTAGACATTTATTTTGCACATATGCGTATGTATGAATATCGAAGCACGTGTGTTTGTATAGCTATTTTCTGATACTCGAAAGGGATCTATAGTGAGTAGGACGCCCGGTCACTTTTTTGTTGTTATTATTTTATCGAACGCGATGAGTAATCTCACTGGTATTCCTGTGGGAGCCACACCGGCAACACATCCCTTTAAAATAAACGCTTGCTTTTTTTTAATTTAAATATTTTCACGATTATTTATTGGTATCTACACTATGCGTTGTACTTATGGGTTAACTTTACCCGAAATTGTTGAAGGACAATGTACCAGCCTGGAAAAAGCAAGCCACCCACAAGCTGCACTACATTGATATATCACACACACGCACGTAAGGCGGCTTTTCCGTTGTTATACACAAAACACAATTGCTTTACAACGCACAATTATAGAATTTGCGCTTTTCACGATTTCCAAAATATTCTATTCAGCACAAATTTTCCAAACGCAAATATTCTTAATATTTATTACAAAGAACACAAAGGGAACCGCAATTTATTTCAATTCTGGCTAGAAATTCGTTTGGCTTTTGCTCATTTGTTTACGATTTTCGATTTTGTTTACTTTTTTACTCATCTTTCACATTTTGCTTTGCAATTCAAATTCCAAACATTGGTTCACCCACACACAAAAGTGTATTTAAACAGACACAGCACAAAAATTATTAATAAACCGTATAAGCTTTTTAATTTAACCGAATTGCTTGACGCGCGTTTTATGACTGAAAACCAATTCGCCGTCTAATCAGTGGTCAGAAAATTTTTTTATACGAAACGAATGCAACACTGTGAACAGCTGTTTGTGAATGTGGAAGATAAATACAGGGAAGATGCCACAAGCCATTGCCGTTTACATGTATGGAATTTGTTTCAGCATACTATTGATATATTTGTATAATTCCTGAGTGTTTTTAATAAATATTTAAGTAGAAAACGTAATAGCAATAACCCGTTTGTAAATTTGTTAACTCCAACCCATTCCGTCCAACTCTAGTAAGTTTATTTGTTAAGAACATACATATGTTACGAATGTATGTGCGTGCAAGTTTCTGCAGAAAAATCTTTCCAAAAATACACGCAATAATTGCGGAAAGGGGAAAAGTTGCATTAGGGCTTTAAATTATTACTATTGGCTTATGATTAGTGTTTATACAAATACTTATGATGATGTATGGTTTCATTTATTAATTTTTTATCTTCTGGCAGCACCGTTAACTTTAATGCCAGAGCAAAAAATAAAAATTTTCCGGCGGATGTGCTTTAGAGTAACTTTATTTTATTTGTGAGTTTTAAAATAATAAAAGTGAGAAATTTAAGCATTTTAGTGCAAGTACTTCTATCGCTGTCTTACACAAATACTTTATTAAGTTGATATCTGTACCATAAGTGCATAAAATTCGGTACAAGGCCATTTCAAATGAAATTGAATTTCGTATGTGCAGCGGCTATTTTCCGGTTTGGTTTCGTTTGATACGAGCGGTTGTGCGGCTACTGCAGAAGGTTATGAATACGCTGTTATTTTTACAATAAAATATATATTTGAAAGTAATGGTCGAATTTTAAGTTTACGCTAACGTCAAGTTTTAGTGCAAATTTAAGTGAAATTTACCAACTTCAACAAAAGTAACACGTTAAAGACTCGAGGTGCATACAAACAGTAATCCTGGTTGACCTTGTAAGGTTAAACTGTAAGTTTGCAGTGTGACTATTGCTTATTAAACGGATTTGTAACGGTAACATTCAGTGTAGAACAAAAGAAATGTGAAACAAAATTTGCTGAGAATTAGCACGTGAAAAGCAAGCAAATTAATTGAAATTGAATAAAAATTTATTGAATATCACAGCGATCACTCATATTACTAAAATTATAATAAAGCGTTACATATGTTGTTTATAAGTGTTTTGTGGAGTTTCTGCGGAAAATTTTATAGCGAAGCTATAAATAAAATATGTTTATCGAGTGAGCATTAAATTACATTCAATATTAGCTTTTGAAATATCAAAGAAGAAACATTTTTGTGAAGTTTACTGGCACTACTCGTGTACAAATCTAAATAATTAAAAATCAAGAACCGAATATTTAAAACTAAAACCATGCCCAGAACTAATTCAAGGTAAGAAATTTAAACGAATAACTTGTGAAAATATTAAATGTACTTTTATTTTGTTTATGGTATTTTAATTCATGCGCATATTTTCCAGGCATGTACAGAGGTAAATTAATTCTATCATATTTTATCACAACACACATGCGCCTAAAAATATGTTTTAAATTTTATCGAGATATTATTAAGTAATTATTTATATTTATATATAAATTAGAATAACGTCTATTATATTTTTGTAAGTATTGACAACATTTAGTTATTTAAATAATAAAAAATCGTGAAATTGCTAGCGTAAAGTAAGGCGTCGAAAAAGTATGCGTTGGAGATTGCAACTGGAATTACCTATATATGTATATTTCTTTGTAGAAGCACTAATATAATTTATTTATTTTATTTATTAATCACATATGGCGCTAAACACGTTTATTTGGACTAAGTACAGCTACATAATATTTTTTATAGAATTTATGTATGTACGTATTATCTCTGCTAAAGCGCTTATCACTTACATGGATTTATTTTATAAATATTTTGCATTTTGCGATCAATTACCAATATGCAGTATAAAAGAGTAGCCACACCTTTCTCATGAAAATACTCTTTTAACTCAAAACATGCATTTTGGCTAAAACAACTCCATATGAGTAAATATTATAGCTGACTCTTTCAACTCCAAACAATTTTATCTAGTTAAAAATCACACTCAAATATTGCGCTCTACCTGGCGCAACTATAGCCAAGAGAGTCTACGTGCGTGACATCAACTCCCAACAAATCCGCTCCGACAATCCGCCTTATGCCGAACATCAGAAAACCTGTCAAATAAACTCAGATAACTTCAAGTTTGTATATGTGTGTGTAATTTTTGTGCATTTATGTACTTCTTCGTCGGCATTTTTGTTTATATTCTGAGTGTTGACTTTGTGTATCGCAATGTTTACACATTTGCTAACATAGTCGTCTAGCTCGAGACTTGTCGACTCAATGTAGGTAACATATACAAACTTATAGGTGCAAATACATGTATTTTTAAAGTTTTGGCTGCCTAAAGTTCAAATTTTTCTGCATATACAACGTGTGTGTATATACATAATTATTCTGTATATTTTTTAATGTTTTTGTAATTCCCTTTTCGTGCTGAGCACCAACCCACTGAGTGGCCGACTTCAACGTATGAGTATTTGCTGAATGTACACTCACTATCTTAAATGTTGTTGCGTTGGTTTATCTCCAATTCCCAGTGGCGAGTCGCATTACTTCGAGACGTTCGTTCAGTGTTGAACGGTGATCTTACGGAGTCAGATCGTTTGAACGGTTACTCGAATGTAAAGTACGGTATTTTTTTAAAAAAGTGAAAAAAACATAGTGTTTCGGTTGTGTGTGTGTATTAAAACATGCATATGGTACATATGCAGTAGTGTGTGTAAGGTGCCTACATAAATACATATAGACAAACTTCATAAATACTTGTAAGTGCATATACAAATTGTGTGTGTACAAGAGGAGTTGGGCTTTTATCAACAACTGGACTCGGTCAACGGTGAGTATGGTTTGCATTGGAAAAATGTAACAAGTTTGAAAATATGAATGAAAATGTTGTGGGCAATTGTGGTGTTCGGCGAATTGTGTAAAAAAAATATAAGTACGAGTATATGTGTTCTGTATGTATATGTATAAGGATAAATTATGTACTCGCTATATATGTATGTAGCTTAAGAGTGTTCTAAAGTTGCAGATAATGCCACTATGTATGACACCATTTTAATACATATGTACACATGTTTCCGTTTACATTCCTTGAGTTGCATGCATAGATATCACTTGCTTTCTTTTCTGGCCTTTGGTTTTTCTTTTTCACTTAAGGGTATCACATGTTTTTCTTGCGCCGTTCGCTGTCACAGACTTATCACACAAAGCACTGCTGCAAAGGCAAAGAAAAAACTTAAGACAATGCAACTGATAGAAGCTGGGCACATACATATATATTTACATATCTTTATGTACATACATATATATTTACATATCTTTATGTACATACATAT